TCCATTCGCCCCGCCTCAATCTGCATGCCGTTAGAAGAAGAACACCAACCAGAGATCAGATCTACTTTGTATGTATTCGAGATGGTTGGTATAGGCTGTCTCTTATACACATCTAGATGTGTATAAGAGACAGCCCATATACCCCCCCAACACCCTCAGATCAAGGCTCAGTTCTCCTACTATGACCACCCTCAGCATGCCCCCTTTTCATAACTGGACACATCTCACAAGCCATGTGAGGTAGTGGTACCTTTCTATTTTTTCTGTGCCTCTTTTCTTTTCAGTCTCCTTTTTCCCTTTGTTTTCTTTTTTGAAGTTTTCCCTCACATCCAAAGTTTGACGATCCAAAAAAAAAAAAAAAGAGTTCGAAGATCTCGTTTTATGTACTGTCCCCCTCCGAAGAGGGGCAGAGTACCGAGAAGGTAGGAGCATCCAAAGTTTTAAGATCTCATTCCCTGTACTGTCCCCCTCCAGAGAGGGGCAGAGTACCGACAGGTAGTAGCAGCAAGCTAACTTAGGCAGGGGTGAGGGGAGGTACATCCTTCCAGAAGGGAAGTACTCAATGCCGCCCGCTCGCGTCTCTCAGCCATAAAAGGGAAAATCATGGCATGAGTTGCATATAGAAACTGGACTGACAAAGCGAGGTGAGGTATAGATACAGGTCGCTAGAGCGAGGTAACGGAGAAAAAACTAGGGTAGGTGCTAGGTAAAAAATACAAGTGTCCCCTGTATGAGGAGAAGACAGCTGTATTTTCAGAAAATAAAGAAGAAAAAGGAACCCGACTGACACTCCCCAGAATGGACATGGAGCCGGAGCCAAAAGGCTCTGTTTTTGTAGGAACAAAAAAAGGAAAGAAGGGAAAAAAAAGGTTTCAAGATGAACTGCTGTCACTTCTCTGAAACGCTTGCTGCATGCACGTCTAAAGGAGGACATGGAGCAATAATAGAGAGAAAAACTTCAAAAAGTGTACTAAGTTACTAACCAACGAGCCAAACTCAGCTGCTACACCGATGCACTGTTGAAAACTTGAAATAGTGACCCGAGTTCAAATCAGAAGCAAACCTGGGGCCAGGCAGTTCAGTGATGATACCCCAAGGCCGTCGGCCGTTTTAAAACAACAAAAAGAAGGGGAAAAGAAGGAATATAGTAATATACGGAATAATGATCGGCTGAACTGCAAACAGGAAAACAAGCTGTCAAAACACAATTACTGTCACAAATTGTGAAGTCCTTTTCAAATCTGTTGTGTGCCCGTCACCAGACTTTGATGCCTTCGTTTCGGGCCCCGTTCAAACGGTGGGCATCTGTGTACTGCTTGCTCAATCTTGCACTGTGCTTGCGCTATGCTAAGTACTATTTTGAGAACGACTTCATAGAGTTTTCGCGAACTGTTACACAAGTTTGGCAGATGCTAGTTTACGCAAACAACCGGTGTTCTGCTTGAAAACTTGTATCCAAGAAAAAAAACGAAGAGGAGTGGGGAAAAGACCATGTCCTCACAACACTGCGTACTGCTTGCTCAATCTTGCACTCTGTTTGCGCTATGCTTCGTTCTGTTTTGTGAACGGCTTCACGAGTTTTCGCAAACTGTTTCATGCCTTTGGCAGATGCTGTTTTACCAAATAACCTGTGTTCGGCTTGAAAACTTGAATTCGAGAAAAAAAAATGAAGAGGAGGGCGGAAAAGACCATGTCTTCACATGGACTTGTGAGATGTATCCAGTTCCCTTAGTCACCATAGAACTGTGTTTCAGCAGAGGGCTCAGCTGCATTATGGCTGTGTGCTGATCTTGGGCTTTGGCCCCGCAAACCTAAACTGGGTAATGGTTCCAGGCTACTTGCTTCATATCTGGGTTGTTTGTGAGGATTTCCTGACTGCTGCGAATCCGGGTTGTTCGGGAGATTGTAACCGAATGCCAAGGCTCGGTGCATGGGAGTCACGTGTATACCGTTGTATGGACACTAAACGCCTCTGCTGGCCGAAGGGTTCCCACCGGTATCATGTGCAGCTCTGCAGTCTGGCTACACTTTTGGACATGATGCCATGCTTGCCGCGGTGGAGGGCATTCGGTTGTTATGGTGGAGATCAGTGGCTTGATCCCTTGAAGTGTGGTGGACGCATCCAAGACCAGTACCCATCCGTATGTGAGCGTAATAACTTCCCGGAATTTGTACCTGCATCCACTGGCTCTGCATGCGGGGTCGTGCAATGAAGGTTGGGTGTATAGTACTGCATATTGTGTGCCTGTATACATTTTTGACTGATGGAGGCGACCGGTGTCTCGTCATGATTGCTATACACAACTCCACAAGAAAAGCATGACTGAGCCAGAATATTTCGCAGGACTTCCACACAGCTCAACATGAGGTTGAACCCCAAGAGTCTGCCCAGGATCACTTTGACTGATGGATAAGTACTCACCACGTCGCCCAGAGTTCACGATACCCCCTGAGAAAAGTGATCGGCTTTAATGAAGTTTAATCACACCGATCCTGCAATCCTAGCAGACTGTCGATCTAAACACCTGACAAGAATGGCAGCAAGCCTGAGAAACTACCTTCTTCCGCCGAATATAACGTATGGTCATTATAGCTGTATTTAGACTGAAAAAAAGATACCCCAGATACAGCTATAAATGATTGTATGTTGTATTCAGGGCAAGAAGGTACTCTAGCACAGCCATTAGAAACCCACTCCACACACCCAATCAGCCATGGATACCCAATGGCACGATAAATGTCACAAATAATTACAGCTCTGCTGCTGAAGGCAAGATCCTTGAGGTGGTGGTCATCGTGTCGGCACACAATTTCCCAGATGAGCTGTCGTGGCAAGATGTATGGAATGGGTCAGAGACATACAGAGCAGGCACATCACCTGCTTCCCAACCCTTAGGCCTGATCCTCCATCAATTTGGTTGTCGATGATTGTAAATCTGAACGGAGCATTCTGCCCTCTCCCATTTGATGTCAGCATTGAGATAGCTTCCGTCGCACTGTATGCAACATGCGGGTGTACTCCCAATTGACGCAAGTAGCTGCAGACCACTGCTATCCTCACCTCATCATCATCCACCACGACAGCCCTCACACCCTTCAGCTCTGCGCAGACCAAACTCGCTGCACAACAAGACCGGCAAAGAGTAAGGGAAGTTAGCGAAAACATCGGCAACACTCCAGTTTGTCAGCTCGAACCACCTTCAAGAGACACTCGACAGCCAGCCTGACACACTTGTAAGTTGTAACCGATGCCCAATGCTCACACGGAAAGCCCAATTCAACACTGTAAGTAACATCCTATACTTTGAACTTTGAAGAGAACTCGAGCTCCTCACCGAGCACACACGTAAAACTGAAGCTCCCCTTTCGGACATCCATTAAAATTGAGAAAGTGTGGGGGGGGCGGGGTGGGGGAAGGAAATGAATAAATGAAATCACATAGGCAAGCCCACTGCTCCCCTGAGGTGAGGATGACACACCCAAATCCTGAAATGGAACGAAATGATCCAAATTGCTTCAGCAAATGAACAAAAAAGATCCGTAGAGAAAAAAGAAAGCAAAGGACCAAAATGCCAACAGAAGGAGTTGGCCAATACGGCATGAGAGCACCGAACACACAAAACCAAAATGCCAAAATTACTGAAAGAACACAACCAGTGGGGTCTGACTCTTGATAACAGAGACTACAGACATGGGTGAGCGCCAAGGCTGGGAGACGAGACACTGATATCCGTTATGGAGCATTTGAGTGGGAGAGAACACAACCGATAACGACAGACCGGCCTTACCTGCAGATGAATGGCCAGGATCTGGTCCGGAAGCCCCAGGCTCTTGCACCCGACAAGGAATTTCAAAGATAAATGAGCTTCCTTTCCCCGGTGTGCTGATAAAACCCATTCGGCCACCCATTAACGAGACAAGTTTGTGGCATATGCTGAGCCCAATCCCTGTGCCACCATAATGCCTTGATGTGCTTGAGTGTCCTTGGGTGAACGGGCGGAATAATTTCGACCTCACGTCCAATGGGACACCTGTTGCCGGTCCCACCCAAAAGCACAGCAATTCCAGCAGACACATAATCACCACAAGTTAGCAGTACAGAACCAAAAAAGAGGAAGCAGTTAAGGTACACTCGATTTATGCGTGTCATGCTTGCGCAGGGCCCATGCTAATCTTCATTGTATCGTTCCAATTTTAACGAACGTCCCGACGGACTAAGTTATGCATTTCATTCTCCATGCCGAGGAAGAGAGGTGTTTTATTTATGCATCTTTTCAATTCTTTTGACACTTTCTTTTAATTAATAATCCAGCTCTCTGTCCTTTGGGACATCCATTAAAATTGGAATGATACAGAGAAGACTAGCATGTGCAGTAAAAAAAACAAAAAAAAAAAGAAAAGAAAGCATGGCCCCTGTGCAAGGAAGGATGACAAGCACGAACCGAGACACGGTCCAAATTTAACAAATAATTAAAAAAAAAAAAACAGCTCTCTGGTCCCATCTCTGAACACAGTTCACAGAATGGCGCCGAATTTGGCGGAGGGGTTTTCCATCTGCTCCCAATCCGCGAGCTACATTCAGAGATGGCACCAGGGCGCCCAGGTAAGGGGATCACACCAGATAGAATGGCAGGGGCGATTTGTGAACATCAACAACGGCCAGATCTTCATGCCCCATTTTCAAGGGGTTAAGGTTTCACCACACAGACCAGGGTCATCCTACCGGTAGACAGTTCGCCAGGGGCAGACTGCGAGGGATATCTTGGATCTGATTTCTGGGATGGTTTATTGCAAGGATTGACATGACAGAGGGAAGGGACATCGATGATAAGGAACGGGCATACTAACAGTTCATCCTTCCAAAAGGAAGAGATCAACGACATCAGGGTTCACCAGACATTAATGCAGGGAACACTGAATATGTATTTCTGACTTGCTGATGGAACAGGAGCCAGACTGACACTCCGACGAATAGGAGTCTGGCCCGAGAGGGCCAGCCTTTCCTTAAATATATAACTAAATAAATAAATAAATAAGTTAAAATAACTAAATAACTAAAAAACAACTAACTAACTAACTAAATAAATAAATAATTTAATAATAATTTAATAAAATAAATAAATCATTTAAAACGAATACATAAATAAAATTTAATAAATAATCCGGATTGGAGCTGACGATTTCAGACTTCACCACTTTCCTTCTTTCCCCGGATGTACCAGCTCCATCACGACATGCCTTGCAACGGAATCACACACATATAACTGCCGATACGCATCACAAGATGATACCCTGAATCTTTCATATGTTTGCAGCTATATCCACTGTGAAATAAAAGGGAAAAAATAAAGGTTAGCTGCACCAGAGGAGACGGGCATTATGTAGCAAGGAGTGGAGTCTGCAGGGAGAACAAGCCACACCTGTGTAGGAATACACAAATCACTCAACGGCAAGCAAATAAGCAAATGCGACGAACGCTTGAGTGGGACCAATCTGCAAACCCGAACGTCCACGTTTTGCTTTTGCGGCTTTTGCCTCACTCATGGAATAAGAAGACACCAAAAATGGAGTTGGACTGTTCAAGAAGTGGGTGGCCATCCAAACAGCCGTGTAACGAATGGCCTCTCTGCCGACTCTACCTTTCATTCTTTCTTCCAGTTGGGGGGATTATTTTAAAGTTTAAACCACAAGTATGCTGGCCCATTGCCCTCGTTGTATCCCATTTCATCAAACAAAGGATCTAGTTTTAGATTTTATCTGATTGACCACAGTTTTCCATCATATGGGATGACAAGGTTTTGCCACCAGATCATAAAATCTGACTGCAGCAAGAGGCCTGTCCTCGCAAGAGCTTCGTAGCCCGAGGAACAAGCAAGCCCGAACATCGAGAGAAAGAGGTTCAGGTGCACTGTGCTTTAGTGCTTTGGGATGGAACCAACTTCAACCAAGCCATTCATTGGAGTACAAAGAAAAGAAAACCATCCACCCTGATTCTCTGCAGTGTGATGATCTGACCAAACACGGACTGAGACACACAGCTGATTTCTGAGTCCTGTTCATGGACTCAATGCCTTGCTGAGTTTCCCGCTTGCTACTGAGTTCTCTAAGTCTGTGTGTGTGCACGCTTGTTAGTCTGCATGCCTGTCTGAGTGCTTGTTGGCTTGAGTGCGTGTGTGACCCGCAAGGGCACTTGTTCGTTCATTGGGCCCGCAGGGCCGGTACTTACCTGTGGCCGTGACATTGAGGATTGCAGCGGGGAAAACACTCAAGTGGCGGGGGAAGAGGCCCGTAACACTTGAAGCAGCGGGGAAACACTCAAGTAGCAGGTAGGACGGTACCACACCCCGAAGAGGTAGATGTGCCGGGTACTTGAGGCCGAGCAGAAGAAGACAAAAGTTGGCATTTTTAGAGGCCCAGTAGTTGTAGGCTAGGTCTAGGCGGGTACCAGTCCAAATGGTCTGAGTCTAGGGCCTGTACGGCCAATATCAGAGTCTGCAATTATGTTTCCCTCCGAAAGGGAGGAGGTACCGGTTGATTGGAAGGCCGAGCGGCCTGCAAGTCACCACCCAGGAGACGAGCAGGCCGGGCGAAGAGCCCAGCCTCATTGTCGGTGTGCAAGTTTGGTGACACATTGGTTGGAGCCCTCGCTGGAGCAGTGCTAACATTCAGCAGCGCTGCTGGGGAAGGAGCAAGGACACGGAGGAGGAAGAAGGCCAGGGCTAGGCAGGAACACCAGAGGTACTTACCTGGCTATGGTGGCAGCCATCTTCATCACCTTGGTGGGCGCTGCAACAGGAAGGCCCCAGCTGAGGTAGAGCTACACCAAGAAGCTTCGAGGCAGAGCTAGGCGTGGCGGCCTGAGCTAGAGCAGCCATAGCTGCTTTGCGTCGTCCTTCGGACATCAGGGCAAGGCCCGAGTAGTCCGCCATAGCCTCGGCCTATGAGAGCGAAGAGTGAGGGAGGTGGTCATGGCTATGGTGGACCTCAAGTGATACCTGCAGTAGAAGAGGTATTCGGACATTGATTCTGGTTCAGCCATTCAACGCTGTATTATTATTTCTTGTGTGAATAAGAGAGGAGGGGATAAGGAGGAAGAGAGTGATTGGCGAAGAAGAAGAGCCTTCTCATTGGTCTAGGCTGGTGTACATCATCTTCTTCTTCGTTCTTTCTTCTTCTTCTTCTCCTAACCCTCTCTCCTCTCAAGTTCATTAATTCCTTTTTGCGAGTGGACGGCATTGTACTATCTGATGAATGTGTATCTCGAAATTGGCCAGGATTATAACAGCAGACTACTTTCTGCAGGTGGGGCGCACACACACACACACACACACACACACACACACACACACACAGAGAGAGAGAGAGAGAGAGAGAGAGAGAGAGAGAGAGAGAGAGAGAGAGA